AAAAGTGGGACATATGAATTGGACTCTAAACTTACAGCTGGGAAAGCTATGCCAAAAGACCCATCTACAGTGGGATGAGTTACTACCTATAGCATTACTAAGGATCAGGTCAAGCCCCACAAATTGGACAGGGCTTTCACCCTTTGAAGTCCTTTATGGACACCCACCCCCTTAATCAAGGGTATATGAGGGGACCTCAAAGAGATAGGTGCCCTCACCTTGAGACAATAGATGCAGGCTCTTGGGTTGACTCTCTCGAAAATCAATTACTGGGTCCAGGAGAGACTTCCCATTAGCCTGACAACCCCCATACACCCTTACAAACCAGGGGATGCTATCTGGGTAAAAGAATGGAATGTCCAACCATTAAAACCCCATTGGAGGGGCCTTTTTGTTGTTATTTTGTCTACCCCCACCACAGTTAAGGTAGCAGAAATTACTCCCTGGATCCACCACAGCTGATTGAAGCCAGCCTCTTTTGAGTGGGAGTGCATTCCTGACCCAACCTCATGGTGCAAGATCACCCTCCAGAAGGTCTGTGCCCTTCCTCAGCAGGACCATGCTTCCCAGGAAACAACAGGACAACAACCCTGCTCTAGTCACTCTAGAAGATGACTAGTCTATGCACAGCACAAGCTTGGATATGGGACGTGCCCCTGTTTGCTACATACTTGGACTCTTATCTTTTGGGTTGATTCTTGCAAAGTTTCCCCATGTACTGAATGTTATAAGAGAGCCTTTGTTGGGATCTCCATGCAGCCATATTTTGTATCATACACCCACCAATGGGTTGAATGTTACATCAGCTCATATACTCCTCAGGTTTGTGAGATTGCAGGTAAGCGATACTGGAAGTTCCAGGGTAAGGGGAACAATGCAGGCTATATTTGCAATGGAAAGCAAGAAGAGTGGGTCTGCTGGACCTACTCGGGACATTGGGAAAGTTCTGATAGTGGGAGAGTCCAGGGCCTAGCTCAGGAACAACTTGTTGTCAGACCCAACTTGAGGCCAGCTGCCAGTCAAGGCACTGGGCCACTGTATAGTGAAATCAGAAGTGAATTATGCAGAGGATTAGACCTCCTAACAACAGGAAAAAATCTTTTTGTAGACCTAGTGGAAAGGATTGTCAAAGAACTAAATGTCTCAAATTACTGGGTGTGTGGAGGTGTCATCGTGAGTAAGGAATGGCCTTGGAAAGGGACAAGTTTACATGGTTACCAACTTTTATTGTGGAATCAATCTATAACTAGACAAAGAGAGTAACCGACCTCAGACCTGTGCTCTCACATCAGAGGTAATAGGGGAAGGATGTATCAAAAGAATTGGACCAGAATATGAAAAGTGGGTGGGGGAGGCCCCTTGTAAAAGGGTACTCTCTTCGGAATGGGACTAATCTAACCTGGTGGCCTGATGAGCCTAAATGGTATTGGACATTGCCCCCATCGGAAAACAGTCCCCAGTGTCATGATTCTCTACCCAATGGCAGCCTCTTAAATTGTTCTACTACCAGCAAGGCAAACCCATTCCGAGGCATCCCTGAGACTGGCAAATATTGGAATAACCTCACTAATACTGACCCAGTGGTGGAGGGCACTGGATGGGTTATTCTAGATATATGGGAAGCAAGCTTATACCAAACTCCCTGGGACTTGGAAGGGAAGCTGTACTACAGGAATATTCAGCCTGGGTTTTTCCTCTTGCCCAACCACCAAGGAGAAATGGCTGGGGGTACCCCTTTTTGAAACTCTGGGGCCCAGAGTAAAAAGGGACCTCAGGGTGGGGGGCCAATAGAGATGGGGAAAAGATGAATGACTTCCCCAGAGGATCATCAAGACCTATGGACCAATTATCTGGGCACAGGATGGGAGCTGGAGTTACTGGACCCCCATCTATATGCTCAACAGAATCATTAGGTGACAGGCAGTTGTAGAAATTATTACCAACCAGACTGCCTCTGACCTAGAGGTACTGCCAAGTAACAGACCCAAATGCTAGCCACTATATATCAAAATTGCTGGCCTTGGATTATCTTTTAGCTGAGGATGGGGGAGTATGTGGCAAGTTCAACAGATCAGACTGTTGTCTCCACATAGATGACAAGGGTCAAGCAATAACAGAAATTGCCACTAATATTAGAAAGATGGTATATGTACCCATATAGGTGTGGAAAGGATAGGACCCAAACAATCTGTTTGGAGGTTGGTTCTCTACCCTGGGCAGACCCTGAAGTGGGGGATGGTTCTTTTTCTTGGGAGCCTGCTTGGTGTTATCCTGCTGGTTCCCTTGGTATTGTGGTCCATCAGGACCATTATGGAGGCCACTATAGAAAGGAAAACAGCTGCCCATGTAATGATGCTGTGGAAATACAGACTCCCTAAGTCAGGATGATGCTCTTTGACCCTAGATGGGTCTGAGCATCAAAAGGGGAAATTATGTAGTGGAAAGGAGGGAAGACATGGCAGGAAACTGAAACTTAAAATGGTCATGTAGCACTGAGGGTGAAGTAGCCAATGAAATTACAAGTAACCATATATGGGTTCAACTTTGCTTCTCACTTCTGTAACCTACTTGCAAGGGTATAGAAGGCAAGGCCCCTTTCTTCTTGGGGCTCAGTCTTTGGATGTGAATCCGTTGAGCTGCTGCCAGCATGCTAATAAATATTGCTTCCTGAAAAGCCCTGGTGTCCCGTTTCCCTGCTTGAATATCCCACAACAGGCAGGACAGGTCGGGAAGCATGCCTGGCAGGGGCAGGCTTTGTGTGTCATGAAGGTGGAGTCAGTTCCTTTGGAGCCTGGATTTGGGAGGGTTAAACCAGGTCAGGAAGCTCAGCACTGATTAGAGCATGCTACCCATACTATGCAAATCAAAAGTGTTCTACCAAGTCAGCAGCTTGTACTTATTGGAATATGCATTTACTCTGAAATTCCTTAAAGTTAAATGTGTTATGCATAGGGTGACCCACATATTCCCGTGTCCATTTCCTTTACTGGGATGTCTAGGAGGTATCTTTCCTTCCCCTTAATTGCTCAGGTGTGTGAAGTCCTGTTAAATTGAAAATTCTGCAAGTGCCATGCTCTTAAAGTATCCTAAGTGAGTCAGGATAGATAAAGAGACAGTCAAATTATATTTTTAATAATTATTAAAAGGGTCAGACTCAGACAGGAATGAGGGAGCAAAAGCTGGATAGCCCGGCAGCTAGTCCCCCTCCCTCCTCCTTTTAGATGTAAATTTACAAGAACAAAGAGACATAAAGGGCTCTCTGCATAAAGAGCTAAATGTAAAGAAGCAGAAGGGCTCAATGAATGGGTAGACAAAAAAAAAAAAAAAAAAAAGAAAGGCATGATTATCTAGCCAAAGGAGGTCCTTTTTTGTTCCTGTGTTTTGGGAAGCCCTAGATCACATCTCTTTGTTTTAAAATAACATCTTGGGCACCCAGATAGATCCACTGCCTAATGATTAGGGTTGCTAGACAACATGATTACCGGTATCTCCCCAGCTAGGGAAAAGAACCTAGAACTACAGGTAAAACTAACATTTTGAGTCTTTACTCTCATTTCCAGTGTGGGGAACAGGAAATGTTTCTCTCTTTTACCCTCAATTCTCCCTACTTTATCCTGTAATACTAAAATAAATCCTTGCTAAAACTTCCATCTTGTAAGAATCTGCTTTTTGTATGTAAGACACCTTAAAATTTTTTTCATGTTTGTGGATCTTGCATACCTGTTTATAGGGTAATAATGTCGCCATTTTGTGAATCGGTGGCCATTTTATCCTCAGGACTCACTTTTTGAGAAATGGAGCCACCCCCAGGCAGCTCCACCCCTAACAGAGACTCCCGCACATGCGCTAACTTCCTCAAGCTCCCTCTTCTGTAAAAGCCATGCCTAGCCCCAGAGTCAGCACTGAGCCATCTTTCCCCGGCCAGCCTGACAGCTTGAGCCTGTCATTAAACCTTGCTCTTGGACGTGAGACTTTTCCTGTGAGCTTTCTTTGTGAGTGGCATTTTTCCTAACACCTGTGAGACTGTGTGGAAACTGGGATCAAGGGAAATCCCTCCTCTGGTAAAAATAAGGTGTTTTCACCTTAGAGATGACTTGCTTTCTGTCTGTTGAAAGTGTTTTCCTTTCTTAATAAACTTTGCTATCATTTCACTACATTTTCGCACCTTGCCTGAGTTCTCTTGCCAGATGTAAGGGCTGAGGTGGATAGCTGTGCTGCCTTTCCGGTAACACTAAGGAAGTAAGGTGAAAAAGAGGGATGAACAACTTCACCTTTGTGGCCAGGATGGCTGGACAGGTAAGAATGGTGAAAGAACTGGGCTTTGATCTCAGGCCTTGTATGTTAGGTAGGTGTTCTACTACTTGAGCTGTGACCCTAGACCATAAAAGCATATTTTGCAAGACAAAATAAAAATAGAGTTTATCTCTTCCAACTTGGAAAAGAGGCAAGACATTATTAAGGAATTTACAAGTTTATTGAAATGTGAGTCTGAGAGAACTCTGTATATGTGATTACCTAAACTTGAACACTGAAAACACAGAGTATTAGATGAGGAAAGAGTGACAAAAGCATTTTTAAAACACCACATGTTAGGAGCCTGGGCAGCTTTTTGGGATGCCCTGATTGCTTTGAGTTCAAATATAACAGAGCTCTCTGCTAGATGTTCTTAATGCTGACCAGGAGGTGGGAAATCAACCCAGGAAGGTGTTCAGAGACTGGGCTGGCAGGCATTCAGAGCTGGACACTGTTGTCCTTCTAGCCCCCAATACAAAAGTGGCTCCAGTTACTCTCTCTGGACACTGTGCACACAACCAAATGGCTGTGATGGTGTTGGACTGGACCCTTAAATTCTCTAGGGGGCCTCATAGGAAAACCTTTCCAGGTCTTGCTGCTTTGCTATAATGTGAGACTTCACCAGTTTTCTTAAGCATTTAACAGAGCTCAGTGACCTAAGAGGAAGTTTCTCTGGTGACTTTTGGAAATTCACACTACATACATACCTCATCTCCATGCATATTTGCCACGTATTTGAATTCTGGAATGCCAACTCTGTGTTCCTTTGGAAACTGCCCCACAACGAGAACCCACAGGTTTCTACCTTTACAGGGAAGAAGAAGAAGAAGAGAAAACTAAGTTGTCTCTTAAAATGACAAATGAACTGAGAGAAGGAGAAAAGACCAACAATGGTGCTTTTCCCACCTGATGACTTTCACATTTCATGGGGACTTGAGGTCATTCATCTGACTAACATTTCCATCCTGCAAATATTCTTCATTTACTGCCAGAAGTTAAGGAAAACATTTCAATTTAGCATAACTATTTATTAATCCAAAATGTGACTTAGTAGGTCACATTGATCTTATTTTCCCAAAAGTTTATACACTCTGAGATCCTAGAGCCTCATAGAAACGATCTTGCTAAGGCACACAATGATGCAAAGCTAAATAACAGCTGATGGTTGACTGGAAGGGAGCCATAGCCTGCAGTACAAAGAAAGTGAGAAAACCAACAATAATAAGATTTGTAATTCAGGAGAAAGATTGTTTTTAAAGTAAGAAATCCTGAATCTTGTATTCAAATGCTGATGTGACATGGCCCCTTGGTTGTGTTTTTGATATGCATGAGTGTTGTCAGATAAACTTAGAACCACAACCCATCCTAAAGAGGCCAAGGAAAACCTCAAGTCCCAGCTCTGCATAATGTAAATTTGGGCAAAGAAGGGCAAAAACAACATCAATGAAGATTTGCTCTGTGCAGATATTATAGTTGGTACTTTGCTTCATGCAATCACAAGTAATCCATTTTTGTGACTTGTTATTAATCAAACTTTACAAATGAGAAAACTAATCTTCAAAAAGATTAAGTAAACCACTTATGATTTCACTACCAATAAGAGGTTTGATCTGTGTCCCAGAAAGAATCAAACCCTGGTCTATTGGAGTTCAATTCTAATGCTCCCCACACTAATAGAAACTACCTATCTCTCCAGGGCTTGGTTTCTAAAATGGTAAAAACAAGTCTTTTTAAATTCTAATTTAAATTAGAATTTGACACTTTTAATATTGCTTAAAATAAGAGACTGGGAAATGTTTGGCAGCTATCATGTACATACAAAGTTCAAAAATCTGTGATAACTAGCTTTATGAATTTAGGAATTTAGGAGCCCAGAAAAGGAATTTAACAGTGACTAGTGGCTAATGTTGAACAGGTTTCTGTGGAATTTCAGAATTCCAGATCTTATTCCTTACATCAGGGATCCCAGATGCTGGGAGCACTATGTTGCCATGACTGGTTGAGGGAGATGCAGAATTGGACTTGTCTCTTTCAACATTTACTTACAGTTACTTAGAATAACATTTGAGGGAAATCTGCCCTGCCAGGGTGATGCTTTAATTACCCTGGATTCACTGTAGGAATTCTCAGAAAATGCCCACAAAATGTAGTGTGTCTGCTTGATGTTTCTTGTTCAGTGCAGAGTTCTCGTTCACTCATTCATACATCCACTCAATGAATACTACTATATCCAGTCATTCACCCTGGATCAGACTGTACAAATAAGTCATATGCTCTATGCACAGTTTTTGGGGGGTGCTGAGGATTCAACCCAACATAGTAAGCATGTGTTCTTCCACAAAGCTATACCTGTAGCCCATGAATTTTGGATCTAGCGAGGACTAGCAATGAGTAGTGAGGAATAGTATGATTATATGCAATATATGATCATACTACAGTTGCCATAGACAATCATAGACACATGTTTAGGGTACTATTGTAGGTGTAGAATAAAAGAAATGGCTAACTTTTTCCAAGAAAGGGACCATGAACACCGAAGAATAATTCTGAGTTACCCAGACCCCTCCATTCCCCAGTGGCATCAATTCTCTGGTCATTTGAAACTTCAATCCTACAAAGTTAACATCTTCATCTGAAACAAAGAAGCCTTTTTTATGGGTGAGATATTAAACATGGCTCTTTCGGTTTGCTTCTGGGAAACTCTTCTGTAACTATTAATGATTTTAAAGCTAGAATAATCACAGATTTGCACAGAACATGGTCTTGTCCTCTTACAGGTAAAGGAAGATTTCAGTATCATCTTAACATCATATTTATCAATTGCTATTTATAACTCTGAATCTGCAACAGCTGGCCTATTACATATAGGACAGTGAAAGACAACAAAACCTCACTTCATGTGGATATCCAATATTTAGTTAACGGGATGAAGAAAATCGAAACTAAATGAAGAAGTACTTTGATGGGTAACTCAATCCCAATTTTAGCACAAATGACCCCTAAGTGAACTGCAAGATAAGAAACTTACTTTGAATGACTTCAATGGCACTAAGTCTGAGAATGAAAACCAACCAATAGCTGGAGAATACACACAATCCTTTTGCAATGACCAACCTCTTAAAGGGCCTTAACCACCCTCTCAGCTAACACTGTCTGTCCCTGGCCTAGACCAAAGCAAGTGCACCAAAGACAAACCTCTTACTGTTAACAACTTGCTTGCCAAGGAGAGTAATTTAAGCACAATTTTCCATTTTCTATCAAGGTTGGAAAGACTACTTTTATTCCCCAAAGTTTCAGTTAATAACGAGTGTGCTCAAGAGTTCTGAAGTGCTCTCTTTGCCTCTTTCTCTTCACTACAAAGTGAAATGTGGATTCCAGTCACTTCAAGGTCTATATTTACTGCCTCACTCAGGACATGACACAAATTCCAGGGCTGTGATATGGGTGCCCACTGGGTTTGCTTTGAGGACCAGGATAAGTTTTACAGTTTGGAAGTATTCACTAATGTCTGTAAGACAAGAAAGCAAACAGTAAATGCTACAAAGTACTGTAGGAATTCAGGAAGAAGAGGAGGGAGAAGCTTAGAAAAGTAAGTAAAGCTTCCCACTACTGAATCACACTCCACAGGTAAAGCCTGAAGTATCAAACAAGCCCAGTGATGATTCTGAGGCCCATCAAAGTTTGAAAGCCACTTAGACTGAGTTGCTGAAAGTCCAGACAGATTTGGGAGGCAGTCGAGCTGTAGGTAAAGCCATCTCACTTTACATGAAATCGCAAACATGTTTCTATGTTAGGAGATACACTTTTGATTTACCTTTAACATGGCTACTAAATATTTTATTATATGAGTGGATTACCATTTATTCAACTAGTTTTCTATTGTTAAGTGTCCAACAATAAGGATTTTGTGCAAATTGTGACATGTACACTACAGTTATATACAGAATTTACAGCATTAAAATATTTTGTAATATGGAAAAATCAGAATGCAAAATTATGTACCATCCAACTATGTAAGGCAGAGTGTTCATTAAAAACCTATAGCAGCAGAGCAATAGAGCCTTAAATTAAATAATGGATGAATCTCTGTAAGATTTGAAAACAGCACACTGTTCAGCTAAGGGATAGAGGAATAAAACCAAGTAAGTTTGTTTTCACTTTTCATCTTTCCGGTTTTTTAACTTAAAAAAAATCTAAAATATCAAATCTTACCATTCATTAAGTCCAGATATTAGTACTAGGACTTTGCTAAGCAAGAACTTTATACTAGTTGATGGTCACAACTGCTCTGTGTGGTGGGTAACGTCTAAAATTTATAGCGGAGAGAATTTGAGTTAAATGGCAGAATCCAGACCTGTCTGATTCCCAAACCTCTTTCGGTGACATTAGGCTACCTCAATCTCCCTAAAAGTTCTAGATGGACCAGAACCAGTGTTAGTCTGGGGAAGCATTCCCAGACATTTCCTTCCACGTGGTGTTGCATTATGGCTTGTGACTAGAGCAGGGTCCTGCTACCTGGCTACAGCTGATTGATCCAGGACAAGGTAACTGAGTTGAAGGCTGTCCTCTAAGGACAATCAGGAATGGCTGTTATTGTATCAGACTACCTCTGTGTTGAGAATTTCCATGGGACATGCCAGAGAGAACAGAGACCCTAGGTGGCCCTGTCACTGGAGCAGAGCTACAATCCTGGAGGACTTGCTGCATGTATGCTGCTGGATTCTGAGACTTGCATGTTTCTCTGTGTTTTCTTACAAGCAACCTTTGACCTAAGTTGAAGCTTGAGAGAACTTGCTGGATGCACAGATTCAGTTTATCCAAAGACCAACAGAAATACTAGCCCTTTTGGGAGGCTATTGTTAGGATGCCCAGTGAAGGCTTACCAACAGTGGGAGTTCTTTTTACCTTCCTAAACAATGAGGCACAGGTCTGATCCCAAGCCTTCAGTTTCCCTCATGTGCATCCATTATCACACACACAAGAAGCATATCACATGCAGTGCATAAATAATGGCTCATCCACAAAAGAATTGAAAATCAGACATTATTAATCACCAATCTCCAAAGTTCACATGTCCCATAGTGTGAAGAATAGGAAAAGGCCACTGCTCAGCAGATCACTATAAAAACAGAACAAACATAAAACAAGCAGACGGAACAAAATAGGCACAAAAAGCAGGGACACAGTTTCCAGACTGGCTAGAGCATCACATATCATTCAGAGCCAAAAGCATTTTGCATATTTTCATTCATGGGTTTTGTTTTTTGTTTTGGCAGTACTGGGGTTTGAACTTGGGGCCTCATGCTTGTTAGGCAGGTGCTCTACCACTTAAGCCATGCCCCCTACTCCTTGTTGCTTTAGTTATTTTTCTGATAGAGTCTCTGACATTTTGCTAGGGGTGGACTTGATCACAATCCTAACTATAGTCTCCCCGTGTAACTGGGATCACAAGCATGTCCTACCATATGGGGCTTATTGGTTGAGATGGGGGTGTCACTAACTTTTTGTCTGGGCTGGCCTCAAACCACAAGCATTCCCATTTATGCATCCAAGTAGCTGGGATTATAGGTGTGAGCTATTATGCCCCTCATATTTTCATTGATTTGACACTAATAACTATAAGCGGTAGGGCTTAGCACTATACTTTCACACATAAAGAAAGAGTCTTCCTTAACATCGTAAGGCACTGGTTCTTCAGTGTGTGGTCCCAGGAGCATCAGCATCACCTGGGAACTGGTTAGAAATGTGCATTTCTGATCAGAAGCTGGGGGGTGGGTGGAAGGAGAGACCAGCAATCTGTGTTTT